CTCTAATGGGCTTAATATTGTTATTTTTACATGATTCAATAAATAAATATTCTACAACTGTGTCAATTTTATTTTTTAATATGGTAAATATTGATAAATATAACTCATAGAAACAAAAGCTCTTTTGGGGTCCTCCATAATTTTTAAAAGTGGGAAGGGGCCCTGAGGGCAAAAGGTTTAAGAAACACTGATCTAGACAATTATCTGGTGTTTAAAATGTGTTAAAGTAACTGCTCACCACAAAGCAGGGGGAGGGGGATTAGAAATTCATACTAAGGCAATATTTTTGCTAAGATTGGGTAGTTATCTCAAAGATGCATTTCCTAACTACACCCAGAAAGCTCAACAGCCCGCAGTCTGGCATTCAAACTAATTCATACATCATGTGATTTACCTTTGGTTTATTACAATGTGTAAAGTAAACTTGTACTGTTACTTGTAAAGCCATTTATGTTATATATAAACCAGCTCTTTATGACTGGACTCATACATAACAATAAGTCATCACATGGTTTGTTTGGTTTTGACTTAAGATATCTTGAAGTCACAAACTCCTTTTTTCATGGCCTAACTACAACTGCTTAAAAATAATGGGATGATTTCTATGGCTTCTCTCCATTGTAATGTGTTTTGATACTTTCAGAAACATACCAATTTTTTTTTAAAAAAGGAAAACCACCAAAGCCCTGGAAAACAAATATCCTGCCCCCAGCCCTATTACATGGTCTCATTCATGTCTTTATATTAATCTCTTACCCACAAAAAAGTTAAATGGGACTCCTAATGTCAGAACATTGTCCATCTAACCTAGCACAAAGCGTCAACCACTCATAGTTTAACATGTTGTATGAGTCATGTTATGCAGAGTAATCTGTTTTGTGGAGATTAGAATTAGGATTTAGGTATCAGTTTATATATTACTGTGACAGTAATTCCAAATACATTCACCTGTAAATATTTTTAAATAATCACTACTTTCAAAGAAATGTAATTAGGATTCTGCTATCTGTGCTTTCGAAAGATGAAACTGAAAAGAAGGACTGGGGAAAATTCACAAAATTAAGCACTTGTAGCTTCAAACATGCATATGTAATGAAGACTGATTTCCAGAAGCACAAAAGAGTTCATCACTTCAGAACAAATCATAGAATCTTTAAAAAAAGAAAGAAAAAATATTTTTCTGATATCTTTTAAGCATGCAACGGAAGAAGTTCGGTTATTAAAAAAAAAAGTGAATGTTCAGGTCCTTAATTCCTTCTAAACTGGCTTTTCAAAAGTTTGGAGTAATTTCTAAACCAATGTTCTTCCAAAAGGAAAAAAAAAATCTATATCAAATGGGTTAGATTTTACTTCAGGGTAGAATATATAAGTCTTATTTCTCCAAATAATTGATTAAAATCATTTTACATTACTTTAACATGTAGTGCTGTAATTTACATATTGTCCAATTACATATTACCAATCTATATACAAGGACCAATTGCAATCTGGACAAATCTTAATTGACACAATCCCCACCACCAGTTCAGCTTGCAACACATAAGCATTAAAAAATAGTTTTTATGGTTGTAGCTAATAAATAACTGAACTCATTAATTGAGCTACATTAATAATTCCCTGGAAGAGGATAAGACTACGTAGTTCTTCCAAATACACTACTGAATTTCAGAATGGTGAGTTCCAAATCTTTTCCAGTGAGAAAAACAAGCTGTTCCATAAGATGAAGAAGAGGCTTAACAAATAAGGTAAATAAATAACAAATAAAAGCTACAGCAAGAAAACGAAAGAGCCACTCCCCAAGGAACAACCCAAAATGAAAAAATTCAGTTTCATCCATATCCACTTTATATTATAATGTTGCCCTAAACATTATGGCTATTTTAACATGCCATGCCTACCTATGATTAACTTAATCCAGATATATTCAACTAAACAAATTTGCTGGATTTGTGCAATACACTGAACAATAAATTAAGTACAGGACGTGTGCTTTCTCCATATTCTAGGCAAAAATGGGGCTGCCTAGCTTGTGACTTAGTGAGTTATGAACCAGGCAGCATATAGGTTATGGTTTATAGTTCAGAGTTTTTAAAGCAGATAAAACTGGATTAATTTGAATGTAGTGTTGCTCTACCTTGGCATATTTGCTCATATTGTTTTTATTGTTTACACTTCACATTCGTAATGGACAATGTTCTGATGTGTGGGGTTTTAAATACTCACAGCTATCTTGAGTACTTTTTTCATTCTTTCAGTAGAAATGAATAATATAAACTGAATAAATAATAACCACATTTCGGCTAATTATTGTAAAAACCCAGCCTTAGGGTGGAAAACTGAAACTCTGATAGATTAAATGGCTTAACAGAGTGAAGGAAATCATAAACAGTTATAAGGAATAAGTGCCCATTTAGCAGGTTTTACTTATGCAGAAAGTACAAAGCCACTGGAAATGAATAATATAAACTGAATAAATAATAACCACATTTCGGCTAATTATTGTAAAAACCCAGCCTTAGGGTGGAAAACTGAAACTCTGATAGATTAAATGGCTTAACAGAGTGAAGGAAATCATAAACAGTTATAAGGAATAAGTGCCCATTTAGCAGGTTTTACTTATGCAGAAAGTACAAAGCCACTGGATGACCTTGGGCCAGTCATTCTCTCTCAGCCCTAAGAAGAAGGTACTGGCAAAACCACTTTTGAAAAATGTCGTCGAGAAAACTGCATGGACATGTCTACGTAGCCACAAGCAATCAGAACTGACTCGCAGGAAAATAGCATTGCTGTAAACTATCAGGCACGATTTTACTATATGCTGAAATCATATAGGAACATAAATTAAATAAATACAGTCCCGTCCATGAACCCAACCCATTTGAAATTGCAAAATGAACAAGCCCCCCCCCCATTTAAATTGATTTACCGATCTCTATCTCCTTACCTCAGAGGAAGTATTCAGTTTAATGCCAACATGGTAGGTTTTACTGACTTACATGCACACGTGTTGCTTCTTTTTACCAAACTGATAAATGGTGCCAGGGGGAAGTCGGTTCTACCCTTTATTTACTGTTCGTAAGTCTATAGACAAAAAATACGTTCCTTTTTCCGGTTGATGTGGCGGTCTTAATGTTAGGTGTCCAAAGACAAGCCTTATCAAGTAAAACATACTTTACACAAGTTTCTCTTTGGCGGGTTATTCACCACTTTAAGAACACAATGTTTCGACGAACTTTATACTATGTTGATTCTTCTGGAAGAAGGAAATGAGCGAAGACAGAGCCAAAAGAGCAGCATTGGATCGGGCAGAAGTTTAGATCGCAGCTATAACGTCACAGAGTTGACCCCACAAGGGCCTTCCTTAGTTTCAGTGAGCCTGGCGCATGCGCCGCGAAGAAAGTAGCAGGAACTGCTAGTGAGCCATGCCGACAGTCGGCGTGAAACGGGATCTGCTTTTTCAAGCCCTAGGAAGGAGTTACAGTAAGGAAAAGATGAGGGGCTTGTAGCGAGCGTGCCTTTTGGTCAGAAGAGGTGGAGGTGGTGGGAGAGGCTGGTTGCGTGACTGATATTCTGCACTAGGTCTCAGGCAGTTCGGTTTTAGAGTAAGAAAAGGGTGTGTTGGTTGATTTGGAGCATAATAGAGCCTCGATAAAGTTCTCTGAGCTCAGGGGCGAAAAGGTGTATTATCCTGCCCTGATTTGGTGCCTGCCAAATATGCTGGGCTTCAGCCCCCACTGCTTTCAACCAAGCCCATGCCTGCTGTGGATGCTGGGCAGCAGTACTCCCACACATTCAGCCGGTACCAGGTTGGAGAAGAGAGTAAGTGACAAATCGTGGAAGGAGGAGGGGGACTTGTGTTGTCCAGCAGGAAGCCAAACATAAAGGAAACAACTTTACTTATTGATTAATATGGATTATTAGCCCATGATAGCTGTGAAAGTGGAAGGTTATTACATTGATTGCTTATCAAAAGTGCATCACTTCCTGTTACTTTCTGGCCACCTCTGAAATAGTTCTGAAGTGACATTTAAGTAAATACCATGATAAAATCAGTATCTTTTTCAAAAAGATGGATTAATTCCAATTTACTCTAAATTTTAACATGTAACCAAACTTTAAAAAAGCTATTTCTTTGCAGCTGATGAAGAATTTGATGAACTCTGTTTTGAATTTGGTTTGGAACTTGATGAAATTGTAAGTATTTCAATTGCTATATTTACTACAGACTCACTGTAGATGTGATGGGTGTGGTGTAATGCAGCTGTCATTATATAAAGCTTTTTTCTCTCATTCTTCAGGATTCTGTTTTGTAAAAAAAAAACTTAATTAACAGTGAAAACATAGAACAGTTCTAATTATGCTGGGTATTACTTCATTATTTTTCAATAATCAGTTGAGCCTTGTAAGCACTGTCTATCCATTCCCCAAGACACCACCAAGCTCTTAAAGTTTATGTAGTCTCAGTCTTTCTGTCAGACTTACCTGGGTATTAATAAGGATAAAATGTATTTTTTTTATTTATTAACCGAATGAAATGAAAGGCATTGAATTTAATTAAAATATGGTGGTATCTCATTGAATTAGTTAAAAAGAACCTCCACAAAACCTCAATCTTTGTTTCCAGAAAGACAACAAGGCTGGAGCTAATTTAATTTCTGTGGGGAGGTTGCTCCATGAAATCAGAGCCATGATAGAGAAATATCTCCTGATATTTCCA